CTTCTTCTTCTTCTTCTTCTTCTTCTTCTTCTTCTTCTTCTTCTTCTTCTTCTAAACTGTCCACGTGCATATTGCTGTCCCCGTCGTTTTATGCAAGAAAAATATTAAAATTATGCAAACTGAACCCAAAAATGTGAAATTATGCGATTCCGTTAATTCTAACAAAGAATGATAAAGGAAAATAATCAGAAATTATGCAAAAAATGATCAAATTTTGCTAAATTATGCGGGGCGCTTAAAACCATGGGGACATATCTTATTGCATGTATAAGGGGACACAGATGTCTATGATACAATTTTAAAAAAACCCACCCCACCTTTCTCTTCCTATACCGTGTAAGTAAGACATGAATTCGATTCGCACGTGGGAAAGAATATTTTATCGAGTGTCTTCGTCTTTCTCTTAGTCTGCTAGGATAGTGTTGACTTCATCCCACACGGCCCCCTTTAGCTTAGACCGTCAATGTTGAAACAGCCTGCTTCCTAAAAAATTGCGAGGAAAATTCACAATCTTTTTCAAGGGACTGGGGGGGGGGATACTGTACCATTTATATAAAAACTCCTCAGCACATTCTGCTCTGCCTTCTGATTTGAGTGAAAGTTGTTCGCTGCCGAAGAAGTCTATGCAGACCAGTTCAGAGGTCAACGAAAAACGTGATATCTCTTTCTGGCTTGAGACAATGCATGCAGAGAAAGGCATGGCGTCCTTATGGCTTGAGATATGGAAGATAGAAAAGATTCGATTTCCCCTTAAAGCTAGAGTCTTAGGAGACAGAAAAAGACTTGGTATCCCGTTATGGCTAGTTACGATACATGGGGTATGGGAAAAGACGTGATATCCCACATGGCTTGAGATATGAGAGAGACAGAGAAAGGGGTAGAGAGACAGAGAGAGAGGGAGAGAGACAGAGATACCGATACAGAGAGAGATAAACAGAGAGAGAGAGAGGAGGGGAGAGAGAGAGGGGGCGTAGAGAGAGAGAGAGAGAGAGAGAGAGACACAGAGAGAGTTTGGATGTGTAAGAGCCTACTGAGAGAAAGAGAGAGAGAAGAGGGAGCATGTGCCTCTAGATAAGTGAGAAAGAATGCACGTTTACACAAATCACAAATACAACCGAAATTGCCCTAGACAACCTCCCATTGCTGAGAATAAAAGTGATTGTGTTGTACAGGTGGGTGTCTTTGGCAGTTATTAAGATATTTTTAAAAAGAAACTCACTCACACACGGGGGAAGTGGAGAGGTGGTCGTCTTTATGGCTGATTGTCTTGGACAGGTGGCTGTTAGAATAGGTTGGACAGTGCTGACAGTATCTTAAAGTAAAGCTTAGATCTAATTTTTTTTTTAAATTCTTTATGATTATCCCTCGATTTTCTTATATTGGTAAACATGTTTGAGGAACATGACCCACAATGGGAGAGAGAGAGGGGGAGGGAGAG